TGCAAATGTACATGTAGCTAAAAGAATTACTTTAAAAAAATGATTTTGGTGTATTTGTGACTCCCAAATACTACCATTAAAGAACACCATGAAACATCAAAGATCTTGAAATTTCGAAGGGGAGTGCCCCAAGGCTTCCCTACAAAAAGGGGCGATCCTCCTTTTTCAGCATGATTGCTGCACCAGGAGGGCAGCACCCATCTTTGGGGGCCTGCCTGATAAATGGTGTGATCAGTTGTTCTAAAAACTTAAATGGAACACTGACATGTACATGTACATGCCCACATCAAAAGAGCTATAAGATATGCAGTGCATCACATCAATCATGCACCATTTGTAGCTGTTTTTTTTGTTTTTGTATTTCTCTTCTAGGTGACCCCAAACTGCAGGGTGGCTCTTAGGAACGACAGTTACACTCTTCACAAGATTTTACCAAACAAGGTTTGAAGACTGCACACATTTTCAGCACAGAATAGATCACCTAATGGAGAGAGATCAACAGTGTTTTCTTTAACGTTTCCAGCAGGAAGGCAACTGGTTTTCACAGGCGGGCAAACCTTTTTGAACTGAACTTCTTTATAAGAAAAATTTTCCTCTAGATGGCAGAAAACCAGGTGGGCAATATCAACCTCTAAGCTGGTCAATTTGCTCGGTGCCTGGCCTGTAATGAAACCCCTGGATCAATATCCAATTTCTCCTTATTGAGATCAGTTAAAGTTACCATGTACCTTCAGGGGTTTCTCCAGGGGTGTCCGCCTATATAACAGAATGTTGTAGCACCTCACAATTACATCTCAGATACCCTAAATAGTATTGTAGATCATGTTGCAGATCTGCTGATATGCCACTGTATATTATGTTACAGATCTGGTTATTGAAAAAAAAAAATTTTCTAGCATAAGGTTAAATTTCATAAAGTTTGTTAAGAATTTTTCTTTGAATTCTAAACTGTAATGTATAAATCATCTTTTTTGAAGTTCTAACTCAACATGATTTTTATATTTTTGGGAATTTTATTAATGTATAGATCGTAAATGTGTACATCTTTAGGTGGATCCTCTTGTCAGTCTGATGATGGTTGAGAAGGTTCCTGATTCAACTTATGAGATGGTTGGTGGTCTAGACAAACAAATCAAGGAAATCAAAGAGGTTTGCCCTTTCTCATTTAGTGCTAGAGTACATGTAGTATCCTTCCATGTGCCTTGCTGTATTTAACTGCATTCAATGTGCCAACAAGTTATTTCATGTCCACAAATTGTACTTTTACTAGTTGAGTCGCAATCTCATGGTAGTAGAGCAGTTTTCAATTGAGCGTTGTAAAACCAATTTAACCAAACCAACTACTTACCTGTACCAATTAGACTACTCAGCAAATCTCAAACCGTAGTAAAACCAAAAGCAAAACCAAAGTAATTGACTGATTTCTTTCGGCATTCAATCAAAAAGCTCTCTAACATATGATAGGCAGTGGCTTTTTTATGGCAATGCTTTAAAAAGCATTACTATAAACGAGACTCTTTTCTATCACATTGCCTCTCTACTCATTCTGTTGGACTGTTATGGCAACCTGACAAAATCCAGGGAGGAAGGTGGTTGGGGTGATATCTTACAGTGGAGCTAACATTCTATCTAGGGGAGGGGACAGTAACAAATTGGAAATTGGAATACTCTCTGTGGTGTAAGCCATATTAATGAAGTTGCATGTGTTTCCATTGTCTTGAATAGAATTTGATAAATTATCTAAAATTGTTTGTTTTGCTTGTGACCAGGTAATTGAGTTACCTGTGAAACATCCTGAGCTTTTTGAGGCCCTTGGAATTGATCAACCCAAGGTACGATTTGACTAGTTTGTAGTTTAAATGAAACTGTTGATTTGCTTCTGTACTGTTGCCATTTACAAGCTGTTGAACCAATACATACAGTCATGTATCTGTGTGTTCATTTTAGGGAGTGTTACTGTATGGCCCACCAGGAACTGGAAAGACCCTTCTCGCTCGAGCTGTTGCACACCACACGGAATGCACTTTTATCAGAGTCTCAGGCTCAGAGCTGGTTCAGAAGTTCATTGGTGAAGGTGCTAGAATGGTCAGAGAGCTGTTTGTCATGGCAAGGTGAAATGATCTTTATTACAGTTCTCAAGCCTTTCTTAGCTTTGTTTCCCATTTTTCACGCTTTTCCCTCACTTCTTAATGTTTTCTTTTTTACAGGGAACATGCTCCTTCTATCATTTTCATGGATGAAATTGACTCCATTGGATCATCAAGATTAGAAGGTGGATCTGGAGGTGAGATTGTGTACTGAAAAGAGAAATAATTATATCCAACAAAGTCCTTGTCTGATTGATCTCTTAACTCACTGGACTTTCTTGTTTATGTATTGGTACACTATACAGTCAACTCTGTAAGGTGGACGCCCCTTTGAAAGGTTCTGAGTGTCTACTTTGGAGAGGTGTCCATCTTAAAGTGAGCTCAGTTGCAGAGAAACAAGTGAAATTTCATCGCGATCTGTGACCAGCAAAACAGCCATACATCTGTACAGGATCATGTACAGATGTATCTGCAGTAGGGAGATGTCCACAGTAAAACTTGCTGTCTACTGTTTAGTTAGGTTTTAAACGATCTGGTTGTCAGATGAATAGAATTTAAATTTTGATGCAAACTTCAGTCTTATCCAAGCATTGAATGCTCTTCATTGTTGGCTTAGTTAAATAATTTTTCAATATGCTGGTGGAAATTTAAATCTTTCATGTTCAATGTGACTATGAACTGTTCTTTTACATTACAAGGGGACAGTGAAGTTCAAAGGACCATGTTGGAGCTGCTAAACCAGCTTGACGGGTTTGAAGCAACCAAGAATATCAAAGTTGTCATGGCAACAAACCGCATAGACATCTTGGATTCAGCTCTTTTGCGACCTGGGCGTATTGACAGGAAGATTGAGTTTCCACCACCCAATGAGGAGGTGCGACTTGTTCATATTTGGGGCAATTTGTTCACAATCTCCTAGTCAATCTTCAGTTTTTTGTTTTGTTTTGTTTTGTTTGTTGTAAGCCTATCAACACTTGAGTGTGTCAAGATTTTTTTTCCAGTATTAACACTCACGAATATAGGGCCAGCACCTTTTTTTGTATGTACAAGTATGATAAATGTATTTATGTGTAGAGTTAACATCATCATAATTTCCACTCAACTGACCTTGCTTCACAGGCAAGATTGGACATCCTGAAGATTCACTCGAGAAAGATGAATTTAACAAGAGGCATTAACCTCAGAAAAATTGCTGAACTCATGCCTGGCTCATCAGGAGCTGAAGTGAAGGTATTGTACATTGCAGAAGGTGAATGATCAAAAGACTGAGAACTACAGTCTCCATCAAGCAAGGCAGATGATGCCAATATATGAAGTCTTTAAAAATTAAATGTTGAGAGAATATTTTCAAATTTTAACTTTTGTAGTAGGAAGTACATGTGTCTAAGTGAAGGTTGGGATGTGCATGTTCTACTGTTAGAAACTGTGGATCTTGTGGCATAATAATGGCAGAGACTAACTTTGTCTTGGGTATAACAAAGAGTACGCTAGATATGATGAAAGAATTAATGTTTTGCTCCACACAACATCCTGATTGACGATACAGGGTAACCAACAATTCCTGTAGTACTGCAGGTACTGTAAAATGTACATATAGAACTGTTGTTTTCCAAAAGAGCTTTACTGTACAAGTATAATTACCGGTAATTTCATTTCCTTGTTGTAGGGTGTTTGTACAGAAGCAGGCATGTATGCTTTGAGGGAAAGAAGAGTTCATGTCACACAGGAAGACTTTGAAATGGCAGTCACAAAGGTACACACATGTAGCCTTCCTTAGGATTTTCTTTGTACGTCTTTGTTAGTAATGCATGATGAAGTCTGTTTACAACTCAGTGGTACTTTCATACTGACTTTCATGTTATTGATTTGTGTTTTTTTTTTAATTTAACAATTTTTTTATTTCTTTGTTATTTACATTGACAATTACGGTTACAAGCATATTTACTAGATGCACTAACACTAAAAAAAAACACTAAATAAATAAATAAGAAATACAGTAATCGTTAAACACTACAATAAATAAATAAATAAATAAATAAATAAGTAAATAAATAAATAAGTAAATAAATAAATAAATATTCCAAGTACAAAAGGACAAAATAAACAAAATTAATGAATAAAGTACAAGACACATGCTGACAAAACTTTAAATTGATTTGCATTTACTTCCTAGGTCATGCAAAAGGATTCGGAGAAAAACATGTCGATCAAGAAACTTTGGAAGTAAAACAGCTGGACCCAATACAGATTATAATCTTCAAAACAAAAAAAGCAAATTGATTTTCTACAATTATCTTAATGCTGTTCTTGTTTATTTCACTTGGAAAGTCATTCCATCAAGCAAGCAAGCAACAACACAAGGAGAATAGACAATTTAAAACAAACTCTTGGGTACGATAAACTCGTACATGTGCAACAGCCATGTTTGGCATTTTTCAAATAGACTTCAACATCATTATACAAAGTATTTAAGATAGCTCTTTTTGCACACATCATTTCAAAATGTACATGCTGCACTGTGCCACAGGACAAGTACAGTGCTGTGCCTTGAGGGTGGGTAATTATAGACTGTAAGATCACCTTTACCATGGTTTAGTTTTGTGTAGTTCAGCAAGTGTATGGATGCAAGATTTTGGTGTGGCTACACATCAAGCAGTTACTCAACTAACGTTTGATTTTGGNTTTTTTTTTTTGCAAAGACGTGCATTGTACATGTGGCAGAGTCTGGGACTCTTGCAAATTTCATTTTAGTAGGTAACTTGTCAGTAGATGATTTTCATAATCCCGTAGCATTTTGTACGTGCAGTGTGATTCAAGAGTATTTGACAATAGTTGGAGTGCATCACCAAGAAAAACTAAAAGTTCTTTAGTCTTAAACAAAAACAAAATCTTAAACTGTAAAGCTTGAACGACTAACGGTCAAGATTATTTTAAGTTCCTACCCTGTTTGTGATTGGTTTTCTGTGGCATCTAATATATTGCCAATATTTTTATTTTTCAACATATATCAAGTGGATTGAATCCAACCTCCCTAATTCTACTGTGAAATTCTTTCTTGTGTATTAATTAAACCATGCAGTGTATGTGACATGGAATAATTAACAATACCAGTCATCAAAGTAAAGGTAATAGTACTTATTTTCCGGGCCATAATGTGCACGGTAAATTCACTATTCACCTTCACCAGGATGAATACTTTTATAGTATATTCCAAACTGAGTAGGCAGAGCAAAAAGGGTTGACTTTTAGTAATGGGATTTTGTGGTAGAGAATGCAAAAAACAAAAACAAAACATGGCTTGGTAAATTACTAACTTGTTATCGTTATTATTTATAGATACAATATTACATCTGTTACAGGATCTACCACAATGTGAATGTTCTGTTGTGTACAGCGGGGGGTGGGGGTGCTAGTAAGCCCATGTTGGAGCAGTCTGGTTATAGCATTGCAAAGTAGCAACTGCTCAACAGGAGTTCACCCTTACTGTAGGATGGGACCCATCCCCATATCATTGCTCTACCACCCTCGCTCTACCATGTGGGTGAAATAGAGTCTCCATCACAAAAAAGGTAGCATTGTGGTAGAAATGGTGGAGTGTGGAGTTTAACTGAGTCCTGTCAATAATTGCATTTAAACTTGTAGTGCTTGCTCCAGCAAACAGGATCGTTTCCCTCCAGTTGTATTGTTGGCTTTGTATCAGTTCTTAGATCTGCCTTGGAGCAGTAGGTTTATCCAACTTCTGTGAACAGTTCATTTCAACCTGTTGTCCTAGTTCTGTTGCTGGTTACCTGTACTCCATAAAGACTGAAATTCTAAATAAATCCAACTTTGTTTTAAATGCCTTGCTGTTTGCAGTTTGAATGTTTTTGTTTTTGGTAGTTGGCACCTCTGTCCAATGGGAGGAAACTTGAGCCGAAATCCCCCCTCCCCCTTTCTCCACCCAAAGAAATAAATATAAATTTAATTTATTAGCAAAGAATATTCTGTAGCTTCTTTAGGGTTTTCCCTCAGAATTACAGCTTTCACAGAGCTTTTCTGGGATACAAAGGCAAAGCACTACCCATTTCCACCCAAAACTGAACTTTTTGCATGTCAGGTTAATTTCAAATGTGTACTCTATAGTTGCTTGATTTCCTTCCTTTGCAGACTTTCTTTCAGTTCTTCAGACAGTATCACGAGCACAATATGCCTGTGGAAAGTCTGTGTAGGAGTGTGCTGTCATGATATATTTTGTGACAAGGTACTATATTTTGAGTAACATCTGCCATTGTATTGTTCTAGAGAGTACCAACAGAGGTACCCAGGAACCCCAGGACACCCCTAGCTACACCCCTGGGTGAAATTAGGAAATTATTTCAATTCATGTGTTTTGTCAAAATTCTAATAACTCTCCGAGCCTTAAGGTGAGGGAAATTATAATTTTGCCAAAATGCTAGTGAAATTATTTCTTAATTTCACGAGTGTACCATTTGTTTACCTTTTTTACCCTTTAATACCCTTACAATCATGGGCTTTTGAATTGTTTATTCTATCAAGAAATTTTGCAACAAACATTACTATGGCAATTTTAAAATTTCACTTGTGAAATTAAAAATAAACACTGAATAAAGAAGTTATTTGTTCCCCATGACAATTATTCAGATTAATTTTACCTTTTAACTTTTATTCAAGAAACTACAATAGTATTATCACATCAGATTGACTTTGGATTAATTTTAAGTAATATACCAAATAAAAAAGACTGTGTTTTACCACATTTCCAAACACCGAGAAGAGACTTGAATATACGACACGTAGCAGAGCATTTTTGATGAACTTTGTGGTGTTTGGTAATGTGGTCAAACACTGTCTTGAGTGTTTGATATATCTTCTCAATTGAAACTAAAACTAAGGAGAAAACAGAGAAATGAAAAAATCAAAACATCTATGCTAATTACGATCAGACATCCAAACACCATCACGGTCTTGATTTCCCATGTTTAAACTTGACAAATTATTAATGAGTTTGAGAATGACATTTCCAACATGCAAAAGTAAATTAAATGCTAAATTTCTTCAAAGCAAAAAATTAAATGACTAAAATACCTTAATTATAAAATGAAAGAAAGGTTCTTATGTCATGACAATTATATTACCATAACCTTGATTAT